GAGTAGGTATAAGAATATATATGTTTATGTGTGAAACGCATATATATATATATATATATATATATATATATATATATATATATATATATATATATATATATTTGTATGAACGTATTGAATTTATATATATATATATATATGTGTGTGAAAATATATTTATGTAAGTATGTATGTGAATATATGTCTTTTTTACAGTACATACCAATTTCATATTTTGTCTCCTGAGCACATCTTGGTCATAGAAGATTATATCCACACTTGTCACATATCCTGCCAGAAGGGACATTACGAACTTAATAATTCACAGGCATACAAATAATTGTTCATACCTATCAATAGTATTGTCTTTGAGCTCTATTACCAATTTCAGAGTTATCGTACCAGCAGTATAGCGTCAGTTGCAATTTAACCTATTTCCGCTCGATGCATGTGGACCACCTTTTTCAAACAAGGTGGCTAGTTGTTACCAATTTGAAAATTCATTCATTTTTCGAACAAAAAAAGGTGGCAAAAAAAATTCAATCCAGTTTTATACTTGTAGTGTTGAAATACTGACAAGCATGCATATACAAGGACTGTTTATCTATGTGTTTTTATTTTTTAGTGTCAACTATCGTCACACATACTGTATAGCAAGCTATGTCAATACATAATAATATGTAGTATTTCTGTGGAAATATAGAAGAAATAATAAATATGAGGAAATTATATAAGCGAAATAATAAATATGTATCATATATAATTTTGGAAAATATTATATATGAAACCTGCACGAAATATATTTTTAGGAAAATAATAAATATGAAATAAATATTCCATATATTTTATATATAAAATAGTATTCCTAATTTTAAATATGTACATATATTTGTATTTCCTAAAATATTAAATACGCGTGTAAAACGTTGAAAATAATAATATGCACTTTTACGTTTATTTGTATGTGTTCCTCGGTCGGCTACATGGTCCATCTCGGTATAAAACAAACCTAATCCCAGTTCCGAGCAAACAATAGTGAATGGGCATCATCGTATCTCTCCTCTAATTAAACTGCACCCGCACAATAATTCTATTTCGGTCAACATTTATTGCATCATTGTAGTTTATAATCTTCTCTTGTGGAGTTTTTTTTCCTCATTTGTAATTCTCGATAGCAAACTTCAACGTTTCTCTCTTCCACTGCTGGTATCACATCGTGTTTCTTGTATTGGGCCTTTCCATCTTCATGTACAGGGTCTCAAATAGACATAAAAAGCTTTATTTAATTCCTTATTTGGAATAAATAAAAGTTCTGAGGGACTTAATTGCTAAAGCTTTTAGTATGTATATATATATATGTATATATATATATATATATGTTGTTATGTATATGTATGGTTTTTATGTATATGATTTTATGTAAACGTCTATTTACATGTTTTTATGTATATATATATGTGTATATATGTATATATATATAATACATACATATATGTACATACATGCATATATATATATGTATATGTATATATATACATGTACATATATATATATTCCACTATCTAACATTCCTTGCCATCGATCTGTCTATTCTTTCTTTCCCTTTCATGCTAGGTAGGATTTCCTCATAGTTTTGGTCAGGATATATTCGATTAAATTTCCGATCTTTTGCACTCCTCCGCGACCCCACTGGGCATCAGAAATTTGCGGTTTCGTTCTATTTCGAAATAACTAGGCCATCCGTCAGAAAGCAGCGTGAGTTGTTCACTACTTGTTATTGCTTCATACATCGTCTGACGAAGCCCTTCCCACTCTATCTGCACTAATTTATCAATCTTCATAGAATTATTGGCAAGCTTTATAAGCAGAGTTGAAGTTGGGTTAATAACCCTCGTTTCTGACAAACGCATCAACGCAAACGATTCCGTTATAGCCGACTCCATACCCTCTTTTGATTCCCCCCAGTAATGAGGCCAAAGCTTACTATTTCTAGCACCATATTTCTGCTCGTTAATACAGTGTAAGCGCTTTTTATCGTGAAATTGAGCATAAGGCTTGTAAAATGCATACTGGTCCGTTGCACTTCCATTCTGACACCTTCCGACAGTATCAAGCGTACTGATCCATTCCATCTCGTTGGTCCGTAGCTGACCTACGTTAATACACATAATACCGCTGTTCGTTTTACGCTGCATCGACAAATTTTGGCCAAAACGACATCCGATGCTGAAGGGCTCTCGACCACATAAATCATCGAACACTTCGCCAGCTTGATCTCTCGGAACAATGTCGTTATCCACAAACAGTGTACGTGTGCGAGATAACTTTGCCACTCCCAGATGTGTAAGCCTCTTACACATTTTTCTATTGAACCCACAATTACCTTCAACGATAACATGTTGACAACCGTGTATAAAACAATAGTCAGAGAACAATGCCCAATTCCCATTGAACTCTGAAGTATTTTCTTCTACATAATGTAGTAAAATTTCCTTACTCCAGAATATTTCCTTTTGTTCTTGACTACCGACGCTGACGCCTTCAGTTCTATAAAAGTGGGTTTTCACCAAATATGTGGCATATATTACTAGCAATAAGAAACATATTCTTCTTACTTGGAAACATGAATTATTGTTTAGAAATGCAAATTCCATCTTTTCAACTCTTCAACAGAGAATATTGAGCCTAGTATGTTTTGTATCCTCGTATTTGTAAGACAACAAATCGTGTTTCATTATTTTTACGAGGCCATGGCATGGCCCTATAAATTAAAAATCTACGCGACATCTATGGATCTATTGTATGGAGCACACAATCAAGAACCTGGGTACACCGAGACCCCATGAGTGATTCCCAAATATTGGCTCAAATCGGGTTTTCTCGACGGAATTTAAATAGCTCCCCACATCGTCCCGAACAAATTGAGCCGAATAAATCACAGCTAGGACGCCGTGGAGACTGAAAGCGTTTAATTGTAGGGGTATTTTTTTTCCCCATGATCACTTCTGCAGGGTGGGACTTCAAAGGTGTCTAAAAATTAGTGAAATAGCATCACTGACGTCAAATAATCGGTGATAATGTCGACAGGGACTTAGAAAAGCTTATTTACTTTCAGTAATGAAACAAGGCTGAGCCGCCGTGGGGACTGAAAGTGAATACTCTTAGGCGAAAATAAATTTGCTCATATTCAGACTGAAAAAGTATTAAAAACAAAGATGTCTTAAAACCCAATAAACGTCCTTACCCTATCATAAAACACGGCTGGGACGCCGCAGGGTCTGAAAGCGTATACTCAGGAGGGTAATTCATTTTGTCCATATTCACGTTTAAAAATCAAACTAGAAGCCCATCCTCCCGCGAGGCACAGGAAGCTCTCTTTAAGCCAAGCAAACCCCCATCTATTTGGGATTGTCAGGATCACTGGGAGCTCTCCGCACTATACGTTTACTGCAACACTCACGCTTTAGAGGATGGATCATTTCCAACCAACAAACACCTATCGAAATGGCTATGGAATTTTCACTTATTGAAAAAATCCCCATCTTACACGCTTCGTATCTTTACAAAGATCGCAGCGCAGTTGAATTAGTGGTTCCTGCACGCTTTAGTTCTAAAACCAAACAGATTCTATTAGCACGCGGCTGGCGTACAAACAAAGGCGCCGACCCTATGAATGTGACTAACCCAATCGCAATCACTGGAGCACTTACTCGTTTAACCACCGCTCATAAAAGTGCACTAGAACGTGAGAAATGTCCACCCCAGTACCCTAGAGTGCTCGCATACCTGCTCAGTAGAGTACCCGACGATCCAACACAGCCTAAATCTAAAGCAAATTCTACAAATTCCTAAACAGCAACTACTAGTTCCAATATAACAAACACACTCGACATAACTATTAGTTCGCCCGCAGATATACAAACATCTGCTAGGTCAGAGAGTGATCATATGGAAGTACAATCAGAGATCACTAAATTATCGTCATACCTCAAACGTAAGTGTCAAAGCGATAGCGATAACGAACGAGCTAGAACTAGACCCGAAGGCAATGATGGTGAATCATCAAGCGATAACGAACGAGCTAGATCTACACCCGAAGGCAATGATGAATCGTTAGGTACTATGTCTGAAGTTGAATTGGTCGCAGTCTTAGGAGATGGGTTTAACTCACCACCAATCAGTGATCCAAAAGCGAGAAAGGAACTCTCTGACTTTATACAAACCCGTACTGATAGTAAGATGAAATCGCAATGAGTGACATTCTCGTGTATTATGTTAATCTAAATTTTCTAATGAATGTAGCTAAACAATACGAAATAATACGCTCACTTTGTAGTCAATGCGATGCCCTGTGTTTAGTAGAGACCTGGGGTTATACCGATCGTTTGAATGCTGTGTGTAATAATACTAATGCAAATCTGATCTACGCCTCACCGCCTTCTGCCAGTGCTCATCGCGGGGGCAGAAATAGCGGTGTTGCCGTGATTAGTAGACACAATGCATATCAATTTAGATTGCACGCTTTTAGTCAATATTTTGTGGCTTTCACGTTTTGCGCAGTGACTGTTGCTTGTGTATATTTGGCGCCATCCCTAGGGGATGATGTATATAATGTGCATTTATCTCTGAATTGCAAACCACACATGTTGTGTGGCGACATGAATTTTCGTGATATCGAATATGATAACGATAAAAACATTTCTCCTGCGCGCCGAGAATCGATTGAATTCTACACACGACTACATAGGTTAGATCATGTACTCCCATCGCAATCTGGGAATATACGGGTCGATCACGTATATGCACAAGCACGCACAAAGACATCACTATCTCTTATACGTTGTAAAGATATCGGGCTCAGGACAGATCACGAGTGGGTATTTGCAATACAAATTGAATCACCAGATACTCAGACAGTACACACTAAACCTGCAGACATAGAAAGTATGCCATCTCAGGGCTACAACAGATATCGCATTCAAACCTATAACTGCAAAAATGTGCGCTATACACGTACATTTTGTGCCAGAATTTGGGTGTTTGCTAAGACATGGATCAAACGAGTTCAGAACTCAGATCAGAATGATATTAAAATCATATACGACTCTATAATCAATCAGTTTTGGAAACGAGCACAAGGCTGTTTCTACGGTTACTTCTTAGAAAGTAATCCTCATAGATCATGCACACCCCTCCGCTCCACAGAACGAGTACCCAATAATGCTATAGTCAGGTTGTTCTCTAAACAGAGAAAATCTAGAACAAGACAACCCACTATACCAAATACCACAGAACCAACTGCACATATTATTAGTTCGTTTTTAGAAAAGTTATTCAACGTTGATGCCTTCTACAAGATACCAGAGAAAACACACTCAGAATTTATCCTGATAGACCATGATGTTTTCACTCCAGGATATATTATGGATGCAATTTTGAGATACGATAGTCGGAAAGGCTCAGGCCCGGATGGCATACATATCGATCTCTTAAAAGCTGCGATAGAACCGTACCCTAGAGGCCACAAAGACCAGGGGAAACCCAATCCCAAATCACCAATTCTCAAGGTGTTGCACCTGTTATTCACTAAGATACTTCACACGGGAGAGATACCTGATGCATGGCTATGCACTCTTATAGTACCTATCCCTAAGATTGATATACCGTTAGGTCCAGAGCAATTCTGACCTATAACTCTCACCCAGATATTAAGACGCATTTTCCAAATCGTGTTGCTCAGTCATATTAACAAATTAGATGCATTTAAAACGCACAAAAGACAAGGTGGATTTAAATCCGGCTATTCTTGCTTTACACACGCACTGACATTACACGAATATATAAACCAGGCCAATCCTACAGATGTACCTACACATCAGATATTCCTAGACATTAAGAAAGCATACGATTCTGTGCGATTGGACAGGTTGTGGCGTTTATTACACAATAGACATGTACCCACACAACTCATCAGTTTGTTCAAAATTATGTATCTCAATGTGACTTCGCGCGTTACGTACCAGCAAGTGTTGGGTCCAAAATTCGCTCGAAAGAATGGATTGACCAAGGGCGACCCAATAGCCCCTACATTATTTAGTATATATATAGACCCATTTTTAAACAGTCTCGAGAAAGTTGACCCCAATGGGTTTCTCGGCTGGGTAGATGACATGTCACTATACAATCGAAACACTCTGAAACTATAGCACTCGCAGCCGTGTGGGGCAGACGTTCTGGTGTTGAGTTCCACCCACTAAAGTCACTATACATAGCACCAGAAAACCCAAAAGACCGATTAACATTTGTGCTCGATCAATGTAGTATACAATCCACTAAGACGGCGCGATACCTTGGGTTTCCGATGAGCGCGAAAGGAATCAATATAGTAGAGATGCTTGCAAATAGAACCATCACGCTCAGTAATGCAATAACCGATAGCGGCCCTTTCGGTTTTCGAGCTGGGGATCACTTGCACCCACATAATTGCACCCACATAGCAATTTTAGAGTGTTTATACTCTCCAAAATCACATATGGACTCTGTTTTATCCCTTTAGCCGATAAATCACTCACTGAAGTGATAGTCAAACAGTTATTCCAACTCAATTTTGTGCTCCATCGTGATGTAGGGTATATTTCATTCACAGCGGCACAG